CCCCCCCCCCCCGATGAGTATCAGCAAAAAATATTGGCTCTAAATTATTTTTTATGCTCTACTCTACCAGAATATACACAATTCATTAAGATATCGATATGGCTTCAAAAATACTCTACTTGTTAGACGTAGTGTAATAAAATTGCCAGCTTAGTACACGTATAACATCTCGTTTCTAACATAACATATAATGTAGCATAGTCATAGTTATTATACTTTAATTAACATTATAATTATTTAAAATTTAAAAACAAACTAGATTTAAATACTAATCAAATAATTTATATTAAATAACTAGTAATAAAAATCCAATATGATACAATAAATTATTGTATTATTGAAACAAACTAATATTATATATAATCAGTTATAACTGAAGTACTTGAGAAGTGAATCTTAATTTATAAAAACAATTACAGTTTGTATATCGTTTATACTGTGTTTACATTAATAATTAGGTTAACATTTAAGCAATAACATATTTATTTGTTTTAAGAAAAACTTAAATCTTACCTTTATGTTTTTATGCAATATGTGTACATATATTTTGTATAAGGTGTGTATAACATATTTGCAGAAAATATAACATGTATCTTATATAAAGGTCATTGATTGGACTAAAATTAATATTTTCAGAACATTTGAAATAAAAATAGATTAGGATTAAAAATATTTTATTAGTAAGCTATTGATACTATCTTATAATAAAATTATCAATACAAATTGAATGGAAAATTTATATAAACAAAAATGATAGTCGCAAACATCTTTACTATTAAATTATTGGTAAAATTTGGCTTAAAATTATTATAAAAATAACTAAATACTATGCAATAGTACAATATAAAATTCATCGTTTACGTACAGTAAATAAAAATTAATATATTATATTAATTAAAGCATTTGAAATATACAATACATAATTGGCCCTCATTTGAAATATCATTATTTTAATAGTATATTGCAAAAATAAATAAAAATTTAATGTTATATTTTAACAAAATACATAATTTTACCATTTTCTAATCAATTCGGCGCTCAACTGATCATAAATTAAACTATTATACGATAAGGTGTCTGGACGTCATAATTCATGTTTGGCCCCGCAGTGATCAACTTTATAACAGGGCTTAAGCGTAATCAATGCAACCCATAATGCTTTTGTTTACGATACCGATCGCCAAATTACAAATCGCCATCAAATATGAAAAGTATCAACATTTTGCAAATAAATAGTACAGAACTGTGCAGTTTAGACTATCTGAGATAATCTTATTCAACTTTAATTAATTGTTACAGTAGGTTATATTTATAACTCTCACTCACACATCCGGTATACTGTGAGTAGAGTTACCAGATGTCTATATTTGTAATGAATTGTCCATTTTTGGGCTGCCCTGTCCCTTGTCCTTGCAGTACCAGAAATGGACATTATTATATCCATTTTTAACAATACAAGTTTACAAATATTTTACATCTGAAATCTCATGGAATAAAATATTACCATAAGTTTTAATAGGTTTAAATGTATAATAATTGTCAAAGAACCAAGCGACCCATCATAAATATTTTACATAATGTTGAATTATTGGACCATATTAGAAAATATTTGTTACAGTTATTTAATTTAAAATGCATAAAATTTGACTATTGCTTGGATATGTGCGACAATTGGCGCAATTATATTTTTAGATATCGATATCGTGGTCAAACTCAACACATATTTACCAATCCGTTACCTCATAACATTCACAGCATTTCCGAATTAAATATAAAAATGCCAATAATGTTGAATAAATTAAAAGCATGTTTAATTTATATTCTTATTTGTAAAATAAACTATAAAATTTATTTATTGAGTAAATTAGTTGCCAGGCAATTTTTATTTTAAAATGTTAAGCCATAATCTGATATAGTTTTATGTATTATTTACAAGTTGTATTTTTATATTATTAATTGTAAAAGTTTCAATACAAATAGTTGCTAACAAAAATATATACTACACAACGTAAAATTTTAATCACAATTTTAATCACATAAAAAATTTTAATGTTATATTTTCACACAATTAAGTAATTTTACCATATTGTAATTATCTTGTTCATTTAATTTGGCGCTCAACTAATCATGAATTAAACTAATTATTCGATAAGATTATTGATTATTTAGCGCACATGTCTGGACGCTATAATCCATGTGCGGCCCCGCAGTGACCAACTCTATAACAGGGCTTAAGCGTAATCAATGCAACCCATAATGTATTGGTTTACGTTAACTATTGCCAAATTAAAAATCGCTATCATATATGATAAATAACAACTCAAATATAATAAATAATAAAATATTATCATATGTTTTAATAGATTTAAATATTTATTAATTCTGAAGTATTGGTTGATCCATCATATTTATTTAAAATATTTTTGAATAATTGAACCATAGTAGAAAATATTTATTGCAGTTATTTAATTTAAAATGCATGAAATTTGACCATCGCTCAGGTTTGTGTAACTATTGGCACGATTATAATTTTAAATATCGATATTGTGGTCAAACTCTACAAATACTTACCAATCCGATCACAAACCGTTACCTCATAAGACTCACAGCATTTCCAAATTAAATATAGAAATCCAATTAATGTTAAGCATGTTTAATTTCTATTCTTATCTGTAATATAAATTATTAAATTATATATTAACTTAATTAGATGCCAGTAAATTTTATTTTTAATATGTAAAAATATAATCTGAAACAGTTTTATGTATTATTTACAATTTAAATTTTTATATAATTAATCGTAAAAGTTTAATACAAATAGTTGCTAACAAAAATATATACTTAACAATGTCAAAATTTTGAGCATAAAATGCACTAATAATCTGTAAATTAGATAATAGTTTAATAAAATAAAAATTTTTAATAATATTTACAGTTATATAATATGCACCACTTGAGAAACAGCTTAATAGTTTTTCACTCATTTTAACCATGGTTGATCCATTCATATTATCTTTAGTATTTTGTTTAATTATAAAATTATTTTTTAACGAATCTCTCTCTCTCTCTCTCTCTCTCTCAGCAAAAGTTAATCACCAATTTATTAGAAATTAATTTGTCTTTATCAAATATGATATAATGTTAGTAAACTTTTTATATATTCAACAAAATCTTATTACCGGTATAATAAAGGATTTCTAGACTTCTTGCATACATGTACTGTATATAAAGATACAGTATTTAACTAGGTTACTATCAATTAATATGCAATAAAACTATTTGTAATAAGTGTATCTATTGTCTTTATTATAAGTTATTAACTGATTATGCTGAATATTTGTGTCGTTGTATTTGAGCATTAGATTTAAATATGGCAGCGAATGACTCGGCTATGGCAGTGCCAATTGAAGTGGCGAATGGTAGATATAGTACCGATTATAACGAAGTTAGATTAATTGGTTATGGTGGTTATGGTAAAGTGTATCATGTTGAGTCTAAAATGAACAAAAATGTTTTCGCAATTAAACACCTTGAGCTATTTAAAGGTAAGTTACATACTAAGTATTACATAGTATGTAATTGAAATAATAAAAGTATTAATAATGTATTAGATTATTTAATATTACTTATTTTAAAAAATACATAAACTAAATGAATTAATTACAGAGGATCCAAATGAAAAATCCATCAACCGTGAAGTAAGCTTGCTTAAATCGTGCGATCACATAAACGTGATCAAGTACTATGGGGCGTGGCGCGAACAAGGTGAACCGGGCAATAAACTTGACAAAATTTACATCATGATGGAGTATTGCAATTACAATCTGCACAATGTATCTGAATTTATCACAAAGGTTTATGAACGCAAATCTAACGAGGTGATATGCCCGGTTAGTTATTTTATTTCCATCATATTGGTCGAGGAGATACTCAACGGTTTAAACTATTTACACGGCATGGATATAATGCACCGTGATTTAAACCAGAGTAATATATTGGTTAAACAACGAGGTAACGGTTGGGTGATTAAGATATGCGATTTTGGGTTATCCAAACTCGAAGAGTCCGCATCACAGCATACAATCAATGTGGGCACACTAACCTATCAGGCGCCCGAGGTGAAATGGGGCGGCGAATACAACAAGCTGGCCGATATATTTAGCCTGGGTGTTACGCTTATTCAATTTTTCAACCTCGATATTAACAAGTATATTTAATTAATATTTTTATTATAATACTTTACATAATTGTTTATTTAATTACATATATATTTGCATGCTCAATTTAGCAATAAGATTGTGGTACACAGGGAGCTTATTAATTTGTTGGCTCGTATGATATCTGGCAAAGCGGCTGATAGGCCCACGTGCGCGGATGCATTGACATCGTTCAATCAGTTACCGATTGTTTATGATCTGGATGTAGTGCGTGCCGATCATCATGGTATTGCTCTATTGGAGCAAAATGAGTTTCTTAAAACTTATTATGATGATAAAATGAGATCTAAATCTGCTAATTAATGAGAGAGAGAGAGAGAGAGAGAGAGAGAGAGAGAGAGAGGTTTTCTAAAAAATTTCTCTGTAAAAATAAAATTTACAAAAATAATTATAACATTTTGTTTTTGAGTTAAGCTAACATAACCTTAACAAAACTTTTTTATAATTAAAGAATTGTGTTTAATATATTTAATAAAACAATTATATTAAAATATGTTATAGTGAAAATATTGACGGAAAGATACTGTATGTGTCCCATAAACTATAACTTCATCCCAACCTTCTTGGCATAATTACATCTAGGTTAAATTTGGTAGATAATAAAACTACATTTTTTAGTGATCGACAATATAAAAGTGACATTATTCGTATAACTTGAAAAGTAGTTTAGTTTGTAAATAAAATTGCATGAAATAGTAAATTATTGTTTTCTATTTGTAAAAATCTATTTCTTAATTAACTTAAAACTTTGATTTTATTACCAATTAATCAAAAACAAATTTATAATTTTATATTATAATATTAACATTAAAAATAATTACAGTTTCACAACAAATAAATCTTTAGGTAGAATAAACAAATTAAGTAAATAGAGGTTAAATTTAAAAATGTTTAATGTAAATTTTAAATATGAATAATTAAGGGTAGTGCTGAATTTTAAAAGTTATTAAGATTAATTTTAAAATTAGCATCAGATTTGATTTCATTGAGGTAAATTACAGTTACATCTCTAAATAAATTAACTAATTAAAATAAAAACAATTTGTTATATACTCATGTACAATTACAACTACAAGGCTGCGGTAATTTTTAGGTAATAGCAATTGAGATTATTATTGTGGATACAGTGGTGGCAGCGATACAACATATATTAGTCTTATTGACCAAAACATTCTGTTAATACACTTATCCCAAAATAATGGGCACATCCCTGGCCTCAGATATGCAAACTGACGGCTGCGGAGGCCCTACAGTGCGGACTCGTGGCACGTGTTATACCCGGAGCCGAGTTTAGCTCATGGGTTGAGAAGTGGGTGTTTGACGGGACGACTGGTTTGATAAACACTTGTTATCCAAAGTCAATGCAATTCACGAAACAATTGTTGAGAGAAAACATAAAAAACTTTACACTATCACTTTACACGATAATTAGTTTATTGCGAGAGTAGTCGGTGTTGAGGTGAGGGCCTCATTGTTTGCTCATGTTATGCCTGTTACAAAATTATTTAAAATTAATATTTTATAATTTGTAATATTACTTGTATGAATAAAAATTATATACCAATAATTCTAATGTATCCAAGTTTAAATAATATAACTTACTTGTCTTTATTTTATTTTATTTGTAAAGTAAGTGACAGTTAATAAGTTGAAGAAAATCGAGATAAGTAAATATAATTTTGAGTAAAAGAACTGTAAATTTCTATATTAAACAGGTTAAATTAATATGTTATGAATTAATTTAATTAATGTTGGGGGACTATATGGGTGCGATATATTATTTTTAAATATATTAATTAATTATAATTTATTACAATTGACAGCCAATTCACTCCCAATTTTGTGTAACTATTTTATTTTTAGTTGCATATTATTTTCAAATGTCTTAATTAATTATAATTGACAATTTAGAGCATTTACTACTCGATGAATACAATCGTAAATCGTAACCTCAGGGCACTCGACTCAACCCAAACATTTGTAAAATACCACCGATCGTGGTTAGAAAGGTACGACCGGTCACGTGACAAGTTTATACGTTTTTGGCGCTCAGAACATCTGACCAATGGCAAAATACACAACGACTTAGAGCATATTATAAACGTCATATACCGACCCACATCCAATTATGCCATACTGTATATGCAAATACTGTGTAGCTTATTACCCAATGAGCCTGGCCAATGATTTAGCACAAATGTTGGCTCATTTTCAGGTTAAGCCCCGTCAATTGTTACCTGAATTTGGTTATTATATTGGAACTGAACTGTTGGTTGACATTATTGAGGCAGTAAACTATTTACATACTAGGGATCCGTTTCTAATGCACCGTAAATTGCGTCTGGATAATATTTATATTGTGCCCGGCCAACAGGGTGCACGTTTTGTCAAGTTGGGTAAATTTACCCTGCCTGAATTTCCCGTCACACGCAGTGTATTGGCTGAACCGCCGCAGTCTATAATGTTTAATAAAGCGGTTCATCGATATGTGGCCACAGAAGTGAAGCAAAATGTCAAATATGGCCCTAAAAGTGATTGTTATAGTGTGGGTGTTATCGCACAGGATTTGCTCAATTTTGATGTTAACAGGTTGGTTTTAAAATGCATGTAAAATTAATTTTAAATTCATATTTAGCCTTATGCTCCAAAATTTAGTATTATTTTACAAATGAAATAATTTTTTTTTAAATAATAAATTATTTACAGTTTATAATTTCTTTAATAATAATAATGATTTAACTGTGAATTGTTGTTAGACAACAAAAATATATATGTTGTTTAATACGGCCAAAATACTATTTAAGTTAAACAATAGTTATCTAATTAATAAGTTTTTATTATATTTACAGTTATGTAATTGAAAATACTTATTGTAAATTTTACGTTTAATTATATTATTAACACGTTTAATATAATTTTTCAACTCTCTCTGTTTCTCATTAATTAATTTTTACTCAACCTTATATCGACAAACAGCTCAATCGTCCGCAACATAACCGGCAAATACAAAGAAGTGTTGGACATCACAGTAGATATGTTGGCCGGTATGGCCCGCACCCGACCCACCAGTGCTCAAGTGCTCGACACTACACACCTCTGGACCGTACCGTACAGTGAAGTCCAGCGCCAAATAGTGGCTACCATTGATACAAACCAAACATATGACATAAATACACATTTTATTCAACACTTTTTGGCAGCAAAATACATGTTCAATGAGACAATCAATAGAGAAATGGTTGTTGAGCCGAGCGATGAACCGGAGGTGAGTGTTGAGCCCACCGGTGCTATTGGTGCCGATCATAACAAGTATACACTATTGAAAGAGTTAACTACCGGTGCGTTCGGACAGTCGTATAAAGTTGAGGACAACACCGATAGAAATGTTTACTCTATTAAAACATTTGATATTAAAGGTAAAAATAAAACCAACTAGGTTATTTAAAGATTAATTTGCAACTGAAATAAAACTTGATAAATAATGTTAAATAATATAAGCAACTATTTGATATTACTTAATAAACAATTAGTAAATAAAAATATATAATTTGTTTGTTTGACGATGATGTTATCGTGAGTGCTCCAAATAAACCTAAAACTAACTTATCATTATAGGTTTTATATAATCTAAGCTTAAAATTACAGTTTAACACAAATAAAATGTATTTAATTGTTTAAGATTTAATGGTTTCATATCAATTAATTGTTTTAAATAATTTCAACTAGATCAAAACAAAGTGAACAAACAAATCACTGCGTTCACTGAATTGGCAGATTTAGACCCGGCTTACATCAGACAACACGTGTCTAATTGGGTTCAGTGGGAGGACAGCCTACAGGCGCTCAAATTATACACACAGTCCGAGTGGTGTTTACTATCCCTAACTGAAGTCATTGACAAAATGCACACCTATTTTGAGTCAACTGATGGCCACCTCTGGCCAGCCGTAGGCTATTATATGGCATCAGAAATATTGCTGGAGATTATTGAATGTGTAGTGTATTTGCATACCAGTGCCGGACCTTCCGGAGCGCCCATAATTCACGGCAATCTCAAGCCTAACAATATATTGATAACCGATGGCCGTAGAGATGGCCGGTTTGTACGCTTGGCCGACATTGGGTATAGGGATAGGGATGTGTCCGCTCAACACCACAGGCAGATGACGAGTGCGGACAAGTATTTGGCACCGGAGGTCAGGCACAGTGAGAGATACACAATGAAATGCGATATATATAGTTTGGCTGTCATAGTAAACGAGCTGTTCAACATTGACCAAGATCATTTAGAGTATTAATTTTAAATCTGTTTAATAATAATTATAAATATCTATATGAAATAGTGTAATGTTTATAACTGTAAACTAACATTCAATTAAAGTAAGACTAATAGTTGATAAAACGAAACTTATATTATTGGCACAAACAATACATTAATCTTTATTAATGTTTGAAAAGGATTTATTACAATTTTAACTTATATTTTAATCAAATTAATTGATTTTAATTGTAACTAATCTTGTTTATTTAATTAGACGGACAACTGATCACGAATTAAGCGAATTATACGATAAAGTGATTGATATGTGGCGCACATGTCTGGACGCCATAATGAGTGTCCGGCCCCGCAGTGACCAACTCTATAACAACGCCTGGCAGTGGGCTCTACCCTATGCGGCGGTCCGGGAGGCTATCGCTGGTCAACTACCGGACCCACTGGTCATACATGATATACGGCAACAGTTTTGTGAATATTTTCTACAAACTAAACGTGCGATTAATGAACAGATACTGACGGCTGAGGCCGAGAGGGCACCGGAGGTCCGCACTATAGACCTGTCCATCGATGAGATCATTGCCGAAGAGGAGGACGTGTCGACTCCGGGAGCCGACGAGATATCGCTCGACGACTATATTAACCACAATTTTGATGAGCACTCGGAGAAGGTTTTAATTAGCGATAGTGTGATCACAAATGCGGTGACAACTGGTGCTGATGTGGCCATACCTGACACTACTGAAGAGAGTAGAGGTGTGGATGAGTTGGTGACATGTATTGATCAACCGATAGACGGGATAACTGTATGCGAAGAATCGGTTGAATTAAACACAACAACTGATTTAACAGTCGTGACCAGTGCTGTGTCGGCCATACATATTGATCCGGATATTGTCTCTGAAGAGGTTATCGTAAAATTAGTGGCACAACCGGTGACTGATTATATAGATTACGGGGCCATTGATAGGGCACTTGTGCTAACCGATGCGGACGTCTGTAGTGTTACTATTGATAGTGTGATCAATAGTTTGGATAACGATATCATCGATGCTATCGATACACAAGAAATATTAGATCGCATTATTAGTGACGAAAACTTTATTATAGACTCGTCTATTGAGTCCGTAAGCAGTGGAGAGTTGGCCACCCCTTGTGTGGGCACAACCACTAATATGATTGATATAGTTATCGGTAAAAAAGACTATGGGTTGGAGAGCGCGGCGCCCGACAGTCAGCACATGGATATGGGAGCCATTGATCGGCAATTGAATAATATATCTATTGATATGGATTTAGATAAGGATTATATCAATCAACAAATAAACAAACTGTATGTCGAACAGCAATGCCATCAAAATGATGATGGGCAATTAGTTACATATGAATTATTGGAAAACGATGGACAGGAGTTAAACAAATTTAACCATAATCAACAAATTTTTGATGAATCAATAAATACCGTAACAATAGATAATGCGATTACAGATAAACCACTTATTATTAAAACAACAGATCACGTGATAGACATTGAGATAACAGATAAGTCATCAGATAGTGAGACAGTTGTTGAACAAATGAACGAACTGTATAGTGAACAGCAAATTGAACAAAGTAATAATGGGCAGTTGAATAAAAATGAATTAATGGACACGACCACAAACAGGAATCAAGAAACTAAGAAAATAAACCATGATCAACAAATTTTTGCTCAAATCATAGATGAGCCAATTAATACGTGTTCAGAGAATGAGACAGTTGTCCAACAAATAGACACTAAATTAAATGATGAAACAGTTATTAAAAAATCCAATAATCAAACCATTGAAACAGAAACCACGGATCAGCTCTTAGGCAAAGAAGCCATAAATAGTGAATCAATTGCTGAGATAATAGACAATCAAAGAGTGGATCAGACAATAGTGACACAAACAGAAGACAATGACAGTACTGTTGAACTTCCCATTGAAATCTATAAGTTTGCTCATAGTTTCACCATAATTGACACTTTGAATGAGGGACATTTTGGCCCCGTTTATAAAGTAACACATAAATCATACCAAACAGACAGCGCTATTAAACGCATTCAAATCAATGGTAATCTAAAATATTATTATGCTTAAGATTTAGACAGTTTAATTAAAAACTTAATTTATGACCTAGATCTCAACGATTATAAAACCATGAAACAAAAACTGGACGTGTGGTCACAATTAGATGCGGAACACGTTATCAAATACCTGTCCCATTGGTGTCAATACGACTCGGACAGCGTACATACCCTACCGGTGCTGAGGCTATACATACAAACCGACACATATATAATGTCGTTAACCGAAGCTATATTAAAAATTAAACAGCATTTCGGGGCCAAAAATAATCAACTTTTGTCGCCAATGGCGTACTATATGGCATCAGAGCTATTGTTGGACGCACTCGAGTGCCTACACTATTTGCATACCTGTGCGCCTCCTATAACTCACGGCCAGATACGGCCCGACACTATACTCATAACCTTTGGTCCGACCGTTAGGTGTGTTAAACTGACAGACATTTGTTTGAAAGCACCGGTTAGGCCACAGACAGAGGGGGAACCACAGTATGACCAGTATATGGCACCGGAAATTATGTATGGATCAGGGGTTGACAATAAAGTGGATATTTATAGTATGGGTGCTGTCGTACAGGAGTTGTTTAACTTCGATCTAGATCTGTAAGTTGACATTTTATATAATGTTAGTTATTGATTCTTTTTCTCTCTCTCTCTCTCTCTCTTTCTCTTTCAAAAATGTTATTTAAGTCTAGATTATAAATTATGATTTATGAACAAAAATTATAAACATAAAGAATGATGGTACAAACAATAGATCTTATGCCAAAATTTTATATTTATAAATAGACTTTATTAAAATAACTGTTTCTAATAAAATTTACAGTATTTTGGCATATACAATTTTATACAACATTTTTCAATAAATGTTAATTTAAACCTAAATTAATAATTCTCTCATTCATTCAATCAGTGCCTACAGTCGTATGAATGAAAACTATGGCATAAAATACACTAAACTTATTGACACGACTTGGAAACTGTTGGACAGTCAGCCCACACATCGACCCACGTGTGAAACCTTATTGAGTGCCAAACACGAGTGGGCCCTACCTTACAAAGTGGTCAGAGATGCCATTCCCGACATCATTGACCCGAACCGCACATATAATCCAAACCAAGAATTAATTGAACATTTCCTACAAATGAAATATAATTTTAATGAAAAGCCATTAATGCCGGTGAAAGTGGAGACAAAATTCATTGAGCTCACCATTGAGGACAATTTATTTCACACACTGTTTCACGCTGATAGTATTGAGAAGTTGACCCAGGGCAAATTTGGTACAGTGTTTAAAGGTCGACATAAATTACTGCATAAAGATTATGCTATCAAACAATATAAAATAAAAGGTATGTACAATAATCTATCAAACTGACTACTTGACTAAGTTATCTATTAATTTTATTAAAATGTTTATTTATACGTTTATAGAGAAATTAGATTATGATAAAAGACTAACCGAGATTAAATTGTGGGCACAATTAGACTCTGTTGACCATATCATACAATACCGGTACCATTGGTTAGAGTATGACAATCGCCTACCGGAGCGCCCACTTGTGCTATACATAGGGTGACCAACTCAAAATTTTTAAAACCGGGACATTTCATAAAAATTATAGAAAATTCCGGGACATTATAAGACATTTCATAATTTACCCAGATATTTTTTAATTAAATCGAATTTTCCCCGGGACACTCAATGGTATCTATGAAAACCCCGCCGGGACAAAATGGTCAAAACAGGGACTGTCCCGGCCAAACCGGGACGGTTGGTCACCCTAGCTATACATACAAATGGATTTACATTCACATACATTAAGAGATTATTTACGCCAATCGGCCAAATATTTTTCCAACAATCCGGACTTAAATGACCAACATTATTTCATATCACATTACTTGTTAGAGCAACTAACCCAAGCACTTTATTATTTGCATACTAATTCATTGCCTGTTATTCATGGAGATCTTAAATCAAGCAATATACTACTAGTTAATAATCCAGAATTTAATAGGATCGTGGTGAAAATGGGCAATTTTGGTCACTCTACTTACGCCGATGAACAAACAGTTACTAAGAGTCTGACTTCCGGTGCTATTAAATATATGGCTCCTGAAGTGCAGTTAAACGGCACATATAGTTTATCATCGGATATCTATAGCCTGGGTGTTATCGGCCAGGAATTGTACCATCATAAAAATAATTGGTAAGATTTGAATTGCTTATTTTAAAAGTTTAAAAATTTGTTTAAATTTGAAAAATAAAAATGTTATTTCATGAACAATATCATATTAATTACAAAAAAAACTTTATTTTCATATTCCAATTAATTATTCATTAAAATAGATTATAAATAAAAATCAGTTTTTAATATCATTTACAGTCATTAAAACACGAAGTGTTGCTATCACTTTAATTAATAAAATTATTAATAATTAAGTGCTATTGACATTACAAAAATCTACAATTACTACAATTGTAATTTATAATGAAATACTATTTTCATTAGACACTCAATGACATTGAGTCAATGTATTCAATACATACTATTTATAATGAAGTAAAAATATTTATTTTATCAATGCTACTAATTAAAATAATAATAGTTTAATTTTAGTTTAATATTACTTAAAAAACTGTAATTTATATAAATTTTATGTAATTTATTTAATCATTGATTTAATATGATATTTAATTGGCTTTAGCTTCACACCAAAAAATTAATTTAATAAATTTAACATAAAATTTATTATTTTATAATAATATATTTTTTTCGGTGTTAAGTTCCCGGAGTTGTTTAATTATTTTATTTAATATTTGATATTATTTAATAATTTATAATTTTCAAATAATTAAAACATTGACTATTAATTATGTTTTCAATAATAAGTTTTAATTAATGTACATTATATAAATTAAATACTTGAAATATATTAATCTATTACAATATTTTAAAGGTCTGAGATTTACAATACAAATTATATAACTAAATTAGTTTAATAATATTTTAAATAACAAACTAAAACAGTAATTAATACTAAATTTGATAAATTTGTTTAACTACATAAGCATATTATTTTATAATATTTTGGTAAATTATTCATATTAATCTTTATTGCATTTCTAATTTTCAATAATTATTTTAAAATTATTACCTAATATTTTATAATAAATATTCATTATATATATTATATTTATTTCTATTTAAACAGCGACAACAAAAATCACGGCAACTATAATGAGGCCGTTTGTGCGCTAATCGATCGCTTACTAGACGTACGGCCTGACAAACGGCCAGATTGTGCGACAATTGCTCAACAACTCCGGGAACTTAACACCGATGAAATATTTGTGCGGCAATACATTATACCAAATAAAATTATTTCATCAAACCATACAGACATTCATAACGGTGACTATAATGGTATTCATCATAATAGACCGGTTGATATTTTAGTGGACGATTGTATACATGAATACGTACGGACACAAATTATAAATATCATGATCTTTGACACAACTACACATCCCCTGATCAAAAATGGACAAATAGTATTGAAAAATAGTATTGATATAAATAATATATCAGCGACTAATGGAAATAAGTTTTATCAAAATTTTAATATCATTGAGTTAATTGGCCATGGCCATTTTGGCAAAGTGTTTAAAATTACAAATACACTTTTGGATAAGTTATACGCGGTTAAAATATGCACAATAACAGGTATGTGGAACTATTGTCTTACAATGAAGTTAAAACTGTAATTTTTACCATATTAAAATATTAATAGTATAGATTTAATGATCAATACTAAAGATAATTCAAAAACAATATGTTACATGTAAGTTATAATAATATATTCCGATTCTACGTTAAATTCTACATTGATTTAGTGTACCATATGTTAATTTTGAATAAGTTAAAATTTCCCGATAAAAGTGGTCATTGCTGCCGATCCCGAGGTCGGTCGGCCATATGGATTATATCATTGGACTCCTTATGCAATGTACTTTCATTTTATATTGTAAAATCCCGATTGCCAGCTTAGGCAGCTTTCGCCATCGTACTTTAACAATTTATTATAACTGATTAAAAATATATAAATTTATGGATTATGGCGATAGCTAAAAGTAAAAAATTAATTAATTATTTTATTTATTTAACTAAATTTACCAAGATGAAGACAATATCAAACAAAAATTGGCCGAAATACGCTTATGGTCACAATTAGATCGTATATATTATGTGCAATACCGACAGCACTGGTTTACCCACCATATTAGTGACACAGCACCGGGACGTACGCTAACCCTAAACACACTAATGGATTGGTGTTCGCTATCATTGAAGACAGCACTCGGAAAAGCACGTGACTATTTCGGCGTACGTCCCAAACGCCTGTTCCCACCCCTGGGTTTCTTTATGGCATCTGAACTACTGCTGGAACTCATTGAATGCGTACACTATTTGCATACAAGACATCTACCCGTTATTCACCGTAACATTAAACCCAATAACATTATGATAGCACCGGTAGTCGGTTTTTATGGGTGCCGTTTTGTAAGACTAAGTGACTTTGAACTAGCTGTGAATCATCGCGATAATGAGCATGGTCATTTACCACGTGTGGCTAGTGTTAAGTATGTGGCGCCGGAAGTAATGGACGGCCATACGTACGATACAAAAGCCGATATGTATAGCATTGGTGTTGCGCTTCAGGAGTTATTCAACTTTGATATGAATAAGTATTTATATTTTTAATTTTATTTTACAAATAATTAATTAATATCTCTCTCTCTCTCTCTCTCTCTCTCTCTCTCATCATAAGCTACAGTACGGATACATTCAATCAGAAATACTCCAACATATTTGACATGTGTTTAAACCTGACGACTGGCATAAGTACTGTCCGTCACTCGTGTATAGATTTGTTATACATTAGAGACCAATGGATGCAACCGATGGACAGTGAGGTCCGAGCGATGATTACCGACACAATCAATGTTGACAACACATCGTATGACATAAACACTGAGTTTGTTCAGCATTTCCTGAGCGCTAAATACAGGGCCAGCGGTTATGACAACCATTTGAATACAATGGCACAGTTGACGGCCAAACAGATAATAAATGAACAGTTAAATAATACATTGACCGACCAATCATTGACTATATCTAGCGATCATAACAATTATGAAAACATTAATAGTGATCTAGTTGTTAATAGACATGTAATTAATATTGAAGCTACAGATCATAGCAATAATGGACAGGTAGATAAACCATATGTGTTTGAGTTTAGCACTGGTACTGAATACATGGTAGAGCCGTCACAATGTCTAATAGTAGAAGTACAGGATGACCAACTTGTTAAGACTCACGATTACCAAAGTTCAACAACTGATCTATGTACATTAAATGAGTCAATAGTTCAACCACTAGAGATTGAAACATTAATCGTCAGCAATGATGGTCAACAGCACCCGCCGGCCCAACATATGGCCGAAGCACAGGTCGAGTCAATCATACAGTGTTTGATGGATAGACTGGAACCGGTGATAGACATTGAGACCCATCACAGGCCCAACCATTTGCACAAAGAGTTTCTATTGGATGGTCAGTGTTTGGGCGCCGGTCTATCGGGACTCGTAGTGCGGGCCACCAGACGGACAGACGGCACCGAATATGCCGTTAAAATGCATTTTATTGTCGGTGAGTAACACCTATTATTACTGTCGGGCACTCGTCAATAAAAATAATCCTAAAAACAAACATCAAGCTCAATTTCCCATTAAGCTCAATTTCCCATCAAGCTCAATTTCCCATCAATGAATAGAAATAAAAATATGAATGTCGTATCAATTTCTAAATATAATTTTCTAAAAATAATGAAGTATTTTTATTATTGTTTAATAAAATTACTACAGTTTGTATCAATTTTAATAATAAAACTTGACTACAAATACAGGCAAAGAGGACACAGAGGACGGGCTGTTACGGGAGTATCACTGGCGGCGCCGGGAAGTGGACGTGTGGTCGGGTGTGTCGTACGGACAGTGCGTCCAGTATTACGACTCGTGGGTCGAGAGGGACGAAGAGTGTCGGCAACGGTTCACGCGTTACCTAA